AATCTAGCATAACAGGTTATGTTCTATATGTAGGCTATATGATCATCATAATCATTATGTATATTAATAGCAAACTCAGTTGCTGAGTTACGACGGCTATGTAGCCAAAATGGGGCTACTGAAAATACAAGAAGTAAAAATATCAACATGCTTGAGAGAACCCGAAAATAAGCAAAAGCAGGGAAAAATAATTATATAAATTGTAATAACAATTGCAGGCCCCACTTGTAATATCATATTTTTTTGCCAGCATATTTGGATGTTTATTAGGCAGACAATGTTCCAAATATTTAAATAAAGGCAATGAATTTCCCCACACACCCAGAACTGTCCACTGACATACTATGTAGAGATGCCTCAAGCATTAATTTTTCTATGGTTCATATGGTCTTTTTACAAAGGTGAAATATAATATTCCAGTCATCAATGCTATACTTGAAGGAATACATGCACCCTGAACCACTATGTATGTTTATGAAAAAAACAGATCCTTGTATATTCAGTAAGGCTTGCTCCACAATACATTGAAATGCAGCACATACATCTATTCTCAGATATATCCGTCAATGATTGCATCTATATTTCTGCGATCTTTTCATCATTCATATCCATTTGGAACCAGTCAGGGAGAATTAGGAAGACAAACTGAAATAGAAAACGTTTTCAGCAAAGACACACAATTTATTATTAAATTTATTTTGCTTCTAGTAAACCAGCCTTACATTAGACTGACCAGTCCAGTTTCAAACTGACACTGCAATTTATGTAGCTTTTCTAACAGTGCAATATCTTATACATGTCTACTCAGAAGTAAACTCCACTGACTTCAGTGGGACTTATTCCTAGGTGAGTATAGGATTGCAGCCTAAGATTACTTTTTAATTAATTGACTTTAAATTGGATGAAATTGTTTTGCACTTTTAAAAAAAATTCCCAGGCACATGGGCAGCCCTAATGGTATTTTATTACATTATTAATCAGTTTTTAGTATTTAGTAATTTTATTACTGTATTTTTTATCTGTAAGTTGCTTTGGAACTTTTTAGTGGAAACTAACACACACATTTAATACACTTTAAAAATAATCCAGAAAACTTAGTTAATATTGCTGCGGATGACTGAATAAATCCTATTCATAGGAGAGGAAAAACATTCCTTCCACCATACTAGCTTTGCTGTGAGTTTTTAATACCAAGAAAGACCAGTCAGTCTATAATTAGGTGTAATTAGCACTTACTCATTGCCCAGCATTCTTTACCTTTGCATCACCTGACACTTACAACCCAAGGAAATTAGTTCTTTCCTGCCTTTCAAATGAAGAAACAGTTTGACAAGGAGCAGTTACTCACCATGAAGGTGCAAAACACAATATATACTACAAAGTCAGACTTATTCATCTCAAATCATCCTCCAATTTAGTTCTCTATATCTTAAGACTGGAAGGTGAGAGGTGTGGACTTTTGTGAGGGGAGGAAGAAGCCATTCTCCTCCACCCTCTTCTTGATTTATGGCATTAATAGGACACCTGTGGCCATCCAGATATTATTGGACTACAAATTCCATTTCTCCTGATGATTGATCGTGCTCACTGGGGATGATAGGATGTAGACATCCAACACCATAGATTCCTCATCCCTCCTTTATGTCCATTTCCCTGAGTACCAAGCTGGGAATCATGGGGGCAACTCTGTTTTTCACAGTCTTTCTGCCTTCCCTCAAGTGCTCACCTGACTTGGGAACTTGACTAGGTAAGATAATTGCTTCCTTGACAAGGATAGCTGGGATGGCAAAGTCTGAGAAGCCGTGAGACAGAAAACTACTGAGTTGATCACACCCATTTTAAGATGGTTACATGTAAGACTCAGGAAGATGACCAGGCATGTGATACACATGATTAAAGCATATTACTAACGGGCTATTATGGGCCATTCCAGGTCTCCTCACATGAGCAAATTTCAGCTTAGTAGGTATGACTCCTTTCTTGGCCTAGACAAAACATTGCAAGTTTTATTTTCATAGAACTTGGCCAGCTGTGCATCTAATGGGACACAAAGGCATAGATGTGAACATAACAATGCATTTAAAGCAGGGCTAGTTGAAAGGTACATAATATATTCTCAACACCAGAGCACAATTTACACAGACCTTCATGCAAGTTTTGTTGTGTGTGGGGTTTTTTTGTTTTTACAAATTGTATTATTGTAGGACCAACATGAGTACAGCATCCATACCGTAAGTCTTTGCTTCATTCTTTCTATACAATAATCTCACAAGGCAGGCTTTGGGCTCCATTTTCAGAGGAAAAGCCAGGCTGAAATATAGTGACTGGATTTAGGATTGGTAAATGCAGGTTCGAAGAAGCTATTCTCCGTAGAGGCTGCAATGGTTTTTAAATCTTTTAAAAACACTCTTTAAACTTTGTAACTGAAGGATAAGGAGCCTATGCCATTAGTGACTACACATCAAGTGGTACAAGCTTTTGAGTGCCAAGGTCGCTAAAAGTAGTGCACACTGTATCTTGGTAACATTGGTTTCCCTGGAGATTTACTAATGCAGGCCTGTATAATTTGTAATCCCTCAAATTGAAAATAGCCCACCTGCCACATTATTGTGGCATGCCAAGCACTCCCCCATTCCAATTTTTGCAGGTCCAGGAAGGAAGTAAAATCAAGTTTATTGAGCTCCTAGATGGCTGCCACATGCGGCTAGTGGAATTCATCCAGCTTGGTGATAAGACAAGATGTTTATAGTCTTATAACAAAAGGTTGCAAAGAAATCAGAATAAATTTCTTATCTAAGCAGCCTGCTTTACATTTTCACTTTTGTTGGATTCTTAGGCATTAAACCAGTCTTTCAAACCTGGGTCCCCAGATGTTGTTGATACCACGACCATGGTCAGGGATGATGGGAGTCGTAGTCCAACAAGTTTGAGAAAGGCTACATTACACAAACACATATAAAATTTAAGATATCTGTGCCAAGTAGAAGCAAAACTCCTCATTAACAAGACAGTAAAGGTAAAGGGACCCCTGACCATTAGGTCCAGTTGCGGACAACTCTGGGGTTGTGGCACTCATCTCACTTTGTTGGCCGAGGGAGCCGGCATACAGCTCATGTGGCCAGCATGACTAAGCCGCTTCTGGCGAACCAGAGCAGCACACGGAAACACCGTTTACCTTCCTGCCAGAGCAGTTCCTATTTATCTACTTGCACTTTGACGTGCTTTCGAACTGCTAGGCTGGCAGGAGCTGGGACAGAGCAACGGGAGCTCACCCCGTTGCGGGGATTCAAGACAGTAGCTCACATTAAAAGGAATGTCACTTCTCTTTGTATCAATTATTTTAGTCTATAACATAAACAGTAGACCAATACAAGACAGAATCCACAAATCATGTCACAAGTCATGTTCTGAACACTTTTAATGCTTTTTCACATCTTCGTTTACTTGCATACACTATTTTCAGCCATTCCACATCATATACCCAATGTGGGGAACCTATGACCCACCAGTCCTCTCCATTTGGCCCATTAGGTCATTTGGGCTAAGCCATGCCTACCTGCTTTATACCTGATATCATACATGGTGTCTGGTGTAGGACAGATAAAGACATGGCTGTGCCAAACTGGGGTTGAAAGCACTACAAATCTAGAGTACAGAGTCTTCATTTTGAGAATTAATTTATCATAGAAGCATAGAATTGTAGAGTTGGAAGGGACTTCCAGGGTCATCTAGTCAGCCCCTGCAATGCAGGAATCCTGCTCTCAGCCATCCCTGGGAGGGCTCAAACCACCAACCTTCTGGTAAAACAGCCAGACAGGCTGACCCATTGTGGCACTGGTTGCTACATGACTGGATAGATTTGCAATATTTTGCATCTTGAGTCTTTCCATTCTGGTCCCATCCTCCCATCCAATTGCTCCCCAAAGGTAATATATCTTATTGGTCCTCAGCACTAGCTCAGTAACAGCCTCTAGAGCCATTACCATTTTTTGTAAAAAGAAGGAGGAAAAGCTTCACCTGCATTAAAAAAATAGGAAAGGCAAGAAATATTACAAAACCAGCTATGAAAATCAAAATTCCAAAAGTAAGCTTTTGGAGCTAGTACAGAGTACAGTGGTACCTCGGGTTAAGTACTTAATTTGTTCCGGAGGCCGCTGGAGCACGATTTCTGTTCTCATCCTGAAGCAAAGTTCTTAACCTGAAGTGTATGTAACCTGAGGTACCACTGTATATCGAGACCTGTTCTAGTTATAGCATTTGAGAAACAATGTTATTCATGGCTATGCTGTAGTGGTGTGTTAATATGCTTTGCCTAACAGGCACAGTGGACTATGGAATTGAATAAGGTCAGTTAAGAGTGACCTGTTTTCAGAAACCCTGGAAGCAAAGGCTGAGGTCCAGGGTTGCGAGTATGTAGAAAGCTTGTTGCTTCTCTTGCCGAACCTGTTCTGTGGAGAATAGCTTTCTACCATGTAGAGGCACCTTGGTGCTTAGAAGTACACGTTTATTACCACACCTTTTACCACACCAACTTTTTCCCTTCAGAGACGACAACTTGTGCACAGTGTCTGGCTGTGATTTGGAATCTGGTAATCACAGCTCATAACAATGCCATTTATGGGATGGAAGAATAATCTGGGCAGGGCAACACCTATCTTTTTATAGTCTGCTTCTCATGGGTCTTTGTCTGTAGCAGCAGTAGGATGTCATTTTCCTGCTGCTGAACTAGTTCTATGTGGATAATTGCACTAGAACAAAACTGGGTAAATCTCAAATGGCAACTAGACTTTTTCAACAGTAGTCAAGAATGGCGGTTTTACAGCATAAGCATTTCACACTGATGCAAGACACATGCTAAGACAATATGAGCTGCTGTTCTTTAAAGCCTTTCAGTGCTGTGGACTTCAAACTTGCCACTGCTGGAGGATATCATTTTATACATATCTAACAACAGGAGCCCAGAAAGAACAATATGGAGAGATTTAGAGACAGGACCCTCCTTTAGAAGACTACTATAAAACTTTATTGATGCATAATTCACAAAGATGCTGTGGCTTGGCTTACTTCAGAGAAAATATAGGCGCGGTCATAACACTAAGTGAAAGGATTCAGTCAACAGAAATTTAGGTTGCTTATCTATAAAGGGGTAGATTGGAAGTCACAGGGGCTGAAATGTAAATCTCCTTCCTCTGAGACACAGATGCAATAAAAATGCTCAACTCCCTTGGTAACATTAGGGACCACTGAGGAATGGCAGGGAAGACAGCAACCTCCAAATTTAGTTTTACATACTAGTTTCTGCAACAAATTTTAAGGACTAAGAACAAATGAGCTGCTTTCCAGTAAGATGGCAGTCCTTTTTTAAAAAAAAGAATCCTTGCAGTCTCCAGCAAATGTACCATGGTGGAGATGGGATCACCTTTTCTTAAAGCCATACTTCTTTCGCTCATAGAAGAGGTCTGTTTTTGAGCTGCCCAGATTGACAATCTTGGGACAGCCATCTCTCTGAAAAGGAACAGAAAAGGGATATAGTTAGAACAAGGGTAATGCTAATAAATGTATCATACAAGTTACTTCACAGTTCAGATAGGGTGTGCAAGAAAAAAACACTCAACACTAGACCCGATTCTGATACACATACTGGCTACAGATAGTTATGCCAACCTTTCATTTGAAGTCCAACAGAGATTCTGCCTTCAGGTTACAGACTCCACTAACCCAGAAATATTACCTCAGGTTAAGAACTTTGCTTCAGGATGAGAACAGAAATCGTGCTCCGGCGGCGCACTGGCAGCTGGAGGCCCCATTAGCTAAAGTGGTGCTTCAGGTTAAGAACAATTTCATGTTAAGAACAGACCTCCAGAACGAATTAAGTTCTTAGGTACCAAGGTACCACTGCACACTATTTTAGGATAGTGCTGCAATTCAATTTTCTCTATCAGGGGCGTATGAATTCTACATCCAGAATAAGTTGCACAAAGCTCCTTTATTTAATCTGGCCTTGGTGTTTGGGGCTTTGCAGAATTTGGAGTGTTTTTGCAAAGACAGAGGAATTAAAAGATCCAAAGTCATACTCGGTAGACCCATGAAAATCAAGATTTAAGTTAGTGATGGCTGACTTACTGTAAGTCCATTGATTTAATGGGTCTACTCCAAATATGACATGGCTACCCAAAGAAAGCAGGCATGGACAGTGAGAAATATTAAGAGCTGTACAGAACAAGAAGATTAAGCACTTTGCAAGCCCGACTCAAAAACTTTGCTTCAGCTTTCTGCAGATACACCAGCATATTTTCAGATTATCTAAACCACCATAAGAGCTAGAAAATGAAAAAGCAACAGAAAGCCAATATGTGAGCTCCTCAAGGAGTCAAATAGCATGCTGCTGTTCAACTTTACAGAATTTGATGGCTTGAGGTAGTTCCTGAAGAAAGAACTGATGTTCTGAAATGCACTGAGCTGTAATGAATCTCAGTTGGCACTTTTGAGAAGCTTCTCCATTTTGCATTCTTTCTCATTTCTGTGGCACCTTACAGACTGCTACTGGCATGCAGTGTTCGAAACTCCCATTGTGACAGGGAATTTCATTAGCACAAGAAGTTTCTGAGCTCTGGGTGCAGTACTGCACCTAAGATTTCAGACTAAAAACTGCAGAGTGGAAGGAAAGGAGGACCCATTTCTGCCTCCCCACTTCCAGCTACTCTCTGAAGACTGGAGAAGAGACCCTCTTAAGAATATTAGGAGGGTAGGCAGGGGAAGGAGTAGAGCACGTGAAAAATGAACATAATATCTTAGCTGCAGTTCATTCATTTTCAGCTTTGTATGCTTGTTATAAAAAAGTGCACCTAGACATTCTGTTGCTGCACCCATAACATAGGTTTAAGGTGCCATTTGGCTCCTATCTTCCATATCTCAGTTTCTAACACTACTGGCATGGCAGCTAAAGGGTTAGGCAGGTAGAAGATCATTTGCTGTTGAATATGCCAGGGTAGTTTGGATTCAGGGTAGGCAAGGACTGCCTATTGTTCCAAGAGCTGCTGTGAAGGGATGAAGAAACAGAGCGTGGTACAGTTACAGCTGGAGGAACCCACCTTACAAATAATTTTCAGTTACGTTTAAGCTGATCTGTGAACTTTTTGCAGGGTACTGGATTCTCTTCACCAACCTACCCGCTCAGCAGATGCAATATTTTCCTCAGTTTACACTTTGACACAGGAAATCAATAAATACCTCCCCAGTCTGAAGTGACACATTTTGTGTGTGCCCTATGCCACGTTTTCTGGAGGGCCACTTTCATTACTGTGTGATCAGTTGCAAAAGCAGACAGGGCGCCCACACAACTCTTAAAGGTGAAGGAGCCCTGGCCTCTTTTTCACTTGGCTACCCTATTGTATTCACTGACAAACTTCCCACAAGTATAGAAATAGCTTTAAAACCAGTTCCAACTGCACTTCAAGGCCTCGCCATGTCAGCATCTGTCTGATTTGGAGAGGATCCTCTTCACAGAATTCCATCTTAACCTGGGTGCAGCAGTAGTTTATGCTAAAAGAACCCATTGTTACTGACCCATTTTCTTCATATTGTCTAGCAGCCCTAGTGACTTCTTTTCTGTCTACAGCTGAGACGAGTTTATGCACACATTCAACATGCACTCAACTGTAGAATCCAATGTCGACTTACTCATAAAGCATCTATCACACCATAGATGGCTCTAATGTCACAGCATCTCAAACAGTACTTTTAAATGGAGGTAGTCAATACACATTCAACTGCAAATCATCAAGTAATGTATATGCAAATTCAAAAAGCCTTTCCTTTTTAAAAACCTCCTCCCCCCAAGCTCTTCCTACACAGTTAGTATCAGACAGAATGAAGCTAATTGTCAGCTACTCCATTTTCAAGAGCCATGCTCTCTACGTCTGCTTATTTTTCAACTCAAATGCGAGATGGCTGAGTAGGAACAAGGTCACTTCTATTGTCCCTGTGTAGTAACCAGCAAAACAGGTGCATTTCACTTTATAGATAATTGCATTTCTGTGGTACAATTGGCGCAGCGAGGTGAAAAAAGAGAGCACAGCAGCTCCTGCACCTTTAAAAGATGTACCTTCCCTCTTCTCTACAACTATTAAAGATGCATGAGCCCTGACCTATTTTTCGCAAGGCCACTTTAGAGTCAAGGCATTTTTTCCTGTACTCATTCATTGTTAAAACAGTCTGAATCTGCTCTTACTGTAAGGGTTTCTGGTACAGAAGAACACCAGTTCTACTGTTGCAACATTGTAATACCCACCCTCAGACAAAAATATAAGGTGTCCCAAATTCATAGAAGGGACCCTAAGGATCATCATCCCCCTGCAACGGAGGAATCTCAACAAGTGACATTACAAAGGAATTTGTAGGACTGTGTCACTGCAGAGAAAATCTGATACCATTGCTACTTACAAACCACCCCACCCCAAGACCGCTAACCCAGATTGCTGTTTAGAATAATACTACACTACAACGGCTGGTAGTTGATACTATTATTTTATATTAAAGGTTCAACTGCCAATGCTGATTTTTATTTTTTAAACCCCTGTCCTTGATCTCTTGTAATCTAAGGCATGAATGAAATCTGTCTACTGGTTTGCAGCCATAAGTTATTTTAGAAGAGTTTGAAATTATAAATTATGTTTGTTTTAGGGCCCTTTTGAAAGAGACAAGTATGAATAGGCCTTTATTGAAGGTACTGGACATGAGAGCATATAGATATTAGAATATAAGCATCCCAGGCTTCAGATGTTTACCAACACATGGGCCAACGATAATATTTAAGAACAAACAATTGCAACTTAGAGAGCAGAAAAATGCAAACCCCTGTAACAATCTTACATCTTTCTCCTGGATGGTGCATTCTTTACAGTAGTATGCATCAGAGACACCAGGACCTCCACATATCACACAGCGCCCTTGATAAGACCCATAGTTGCACTCATCACATATGCGCACCAGTGTGCAGGGCCGCACATAAGAGTCACAAATAACACACTTGCCATCACCTGCAAAATAAGAACATGTATTTCAAGTGAAAGAAAAGATGCAGACAAGCCACCCACAGAAAGAATATACACAGCCTATTAGATTACCCACAGAACATGCTACAAAAGCAAGGCGTTAACTGGGTTTGCTTCCAGGCAGATGTGTTTAAGGTGGAGTTGCCACACCCCAAATACAATGGCTTGAGTTGTTTACAGATAAAAGCCCAAAGCAATTGGCATTTGATTGAACTTCTCCATAAACCAGTCTGCCACATTTTTTGAATTTTTTAATCATATGTAACACCAAATCAGCATCTTTGTGCGGGGATGAACACAGAATGCAGCATCACAGATACATCAATCATATAATGCCAATGCAATCTTCTACACTTGAAAGGTATATTCAGTGATCTTCTTTTCTTAATTTGGCTTTAGGAAAGGCTGAACGGGCAAGTGCACACATACATAATTGAAGCCATTATTGCTGTCGATAGCTCTTGAGGTATGGAACCAAAGTTAGCAAGTAAGTAAATAGCCAACAGATGGCAATGACAAGCACTGCCAGCCTGGACCATATCCAAGCAAATGACCTAAAGACGAAGAGCTTCATATCCCATTACCCTCATCCATCTAATCTTTATTCCTACTAAGGACTTGTTTAACTTGCTCTTTCTTTCGGAAAGTGAACAAATTCTTTTTAAGAATGCTGCTGATAATCTCCTGGGTGACAGCTAGACCATCTCATAGTTTCCCCCCAGTACTGCTGTATTTCTAGTTTCGAGGATGGGGCAGGAGTAAGGAGCCATTTCATTTGTGTGACAAGTAGCCCTGGGAAGCACCCAAGTGTAGCACCTTCTACTCTCTTACTCTGCATCCCTGGGCTGAAAAAGCATCTCTTTCCTGTCTGCAATAGCTTGTGCTGTTATCCTGTCCTTTTATGACCAGGAGAGACAGCATATGTTCCCCCAATAGCGATATTAAGAAAAGCCATAATCTGCCCATAACTTCATCCTTTCTGACATCCTTTTATTCCTTCTGACATCTTTTACTTCTGCCTAGTTTCACCTCAAAATGCACACTAGCTAGCCTGGTCATTATGTGGCCTGAAGTTTTGCTTTCACTTTACAGGTACCTGTGCTTTTTAAGGACCAGAGGAACAGGTGCAATAGTGCTTTGGAGACTCCGGAGTGCAGGGGTGTGTGTCATGGCACCAAATTTAAATTTTACCTTTGTAAAATAGCCTAGTTTCTATGCACACTCAATCAACCCTCTCTATCCTCCATCCATGAGTACAAGAGGAATTATCAGAGTTCAAGGACACATTCCAGCCAGGCAAGAGCTCCTGGGGTGTGAAGCATGGTCAGGGAGGTGTGTACTGGGGAGAGTTCCAGGGGCAAGGCAGAAAGGCCTGGCATTTGGCCCCTGAGCCTGAATTTCACTGCCCCTGATTAGCACACATGCTAATGCATGTGTGACTGTTGTGTCTTAAAATGCCAGTAAAGACAGCTGCAGCATATCAGGAATGCTAAGAGTGTTTTCTGCGGGCTGGATTGGACAAAAGTCCAAAGCCTGATGTGGTGCATCAAGAAGCCTGTGGCTGGTGCACATCTTCCTTCTTTTCACAGGTGCCTTGCTTTCCTGGTCTGCTTCCTTGAACTCTTAAGTTGCCAGTGCCAAACTATGGTTTAACGTTACATCTGAAACAGCCCATGGTCTCTTCAGACATTCTAAGTTTGAGAAAAATGTAGCTACAGTAGTACTGGAGCAACACAGACATCCCTGCTTAACACTGCAAAGCTCTTAGGAAGCATGAAGTTAAAGGGGGATTGGAGGGAATGGCTGCCATGTTTTGATACAGTTTTCAACCCTTTCTTTTCTTCTCTTAAACTTTTACCAACTTTATTCACCCCCCTTACAATCTATATAGTATTGATCCACCATGACTAATTTATTTTTAAATTATCTAAAGTAAACATATAGGTATGTTGCCAATTTTTATATTCCTTCTCTTCTCTTGGGTTTAGATCCAAAAGTGTTTCAGACAGGTTTAGGTGAAAAGGTGAAGTTTCTCAAGTCTATGGCAAGTCTGCAGTTCTATACTAATTTGCCTGGGCGTACGTTTCAGTGAACATAGTGGAAAAATTCTGAATATGCAAATATAGGATTATACTACATGTGTAGCTAGAATTTTAAACTTAAAATGGCATCATACTCAGTGCATACTCTTGAGTACCCCCTGAAAACAAGCACTATCAACACCTCTTTTTGTTGTTAAGTGTGGCACTTACTGTAACAACTTCATGGTGAGTACTGGCACCTATTTTTCTAGAAAAAATGCACTGGTTATACGTATAAGTTTAATTGCATTTTAGAAGACAGACTTTACTCAGCTTGGAAGAAATCCTGATTCACAATATTGGGCTCTAAATCACAGAAGACACACAGTATGTAAAAAGCTATACTCACATTTTTCACATAGTCGTCCAATAGCTGCAATAAAAATGGAGAAAAATGAATAACATTCATTTGGAAATTCTAAAAGTTCTACATTATTTCTAGAATCTGTACTACTCTTCAGGATTTAACTCATATTCAGGTGGGGATGGGTGAACTATGAGAGAATAATAGGTTTTAAAGGCAATTAACTAAAATGTTTAATAAACACTTAACTTTTGGTATTCTGTAAGAAGATCCTATCCAGATATTCGGGGCTGATCCTATCCATGCTTAGTCAAAGGTAAACTGAACGAACTTTAATCAGTGAGTAGCTAGATACAGTGCAGTGGCAGCAAGACCACATGGCACAAAGTACCTGAGTATATTTTCAGAATCAGCCTTTATATTTTCCCTTCAGTTTCAAACAGTGGGACCTGTTTCCAGGTACGTGTGTTTAGGAATGCAACCGTAGGCTTTCATTGTATTGGCAGGACTAAACTTAAAGCAAACATAATATTTCCTCACTCTGCCTAATGTGTTTTGCCAAGATTAGAGCTTGTCATTTTCAAAACAACAGTAAGAATGTAATACTCATAGGGAATGAAGGCAAAGAATGCACTATTTTGATGAAAATACAATAGCAAAGCCTTATGTCTCATGTACGTCACAGGCCGAGAGTGACGCAGCATCATGTAAACTTACAACTTCCAAAGGTAAATAAGAAGGCAGGAGGCCCAAATCCTGTAATTGTATGGCAGGGAAATCTTGTAGCAAGTATGATTTTTTTAATAAAAAAAAATCCTTGCTACTAAGAAGCAGTTAATAAAATATCAGTTAAAAGCAGGAAGGAAGGGGACAGAAATGTAGGGCTTTAGATATGACTATGTGACTCATATAGGAAGCATGTAAAACTGTTGTAACTGATACAACATTCATTCCACTTTAAGCAAGTATTTGGTTGCAAGAGGATCTCCCCTTTTGCAGCCCAGCTGGTTGAAATCCTTTTAATTAGATGCTAGGGATTGATCAGAACTTAAGTGTGCAAAGCATGTTCTAATATTATACAGCAGGACCTAAATGCTTCCATCTACAAGCCACAATGATGCAGCAGATATACTTGTTTTTCCATCTAGCTCTGCTTATGACAGCTGCAAGTTTGGCAGACTGGAATATCTGAGGGGGGGGGGGAGAGGAACAGTGATGGGCCCCAGAGATGCATTTGTATGCAATATAAACCATCCTAGGGGCCAGCTGGCAACTTGAGGATGGGAGAGACATTAAGGAGCAACTACTTTATACAGATTGGGAAAGATTGAGGGCACAAGGAGAAGGGGACGACAGAGGACCAGATGGCTGGACAGTGTTCTCGAAGCTACCAGCATGAGTTTGACCAAACTGCGGGAGGCAGTGGAAGACAGGAGTGCCTGGCGTGCTCTGGTCCAGGGGGTCATGAAGAGTCGGAGACGACTGAACGACTAAACAACAACAACTTTATACAGAACTTATGCTCTGAATTCAGCTATCACGGCTAGCGGTTAAACGGACTAGACCTCGGCTGATTTAAAGCTCCTTCTAAAGCCACCTAAGCCTGCGACTATCACTGCATCTGAGGGAACGGAATCCCCCGAGTTCACTGCCGCTTGCGAGATGCGGAGAATGAGGTTTCGCCGGTCCATTTCTGAATCTCCCGCCGATCGATTTCATTGGGCTTCAGCCACAACGAGTGAGGCCCAAGCGCTCTCAGTGCACCTTCTCCGCTCCGGTTCGCAATTCCCTTTCAGACGTGAGGCGCCGCCGCCGCGTTTTGCCGTTTGGACCAGGGCAGAAGTCAGTCGAGCCTCCCGCCTGGGAGACCCGGCCGGTGTGGCCTTCCCGGCCGGTGTGGCCTTCCCGGCCGCTGCTCTCCGCCCGCCTCCCGCCGCGCGCGCAGCCCAGGCACCCCGAGGCTCCCGGTCCGAGGGAAAAGGGAAAGGAAGGGGGGGCCTCACCCACGCCCGCCTGCTTGCGGCAGAAGATCAAATCCGGGTGGTGCTTGGCCATCCCTGAACCCCTTCGCCTCGCGCCGCTGTCGTTACTGGCCTTTCACCTTTGACCCCTTCAGGTCCTGAGGAAAGCGGAGGTCCTACACACTCGGCCACCTCCACACAAACCGGCTTTTAATTTCCTTTCGCGCGCTACCGTGTCGGGTTACCACACTCGAATATCCCGCAAATAAATAACCTGTTTCTTCGTAGCCTTTAGAATATCTTTAGAAGAGGGGAAATGTCGGCAATTTACAACTCTCTCTCTCTTTCTCTTTCAGGACCTGGCAGAGTACCGCCCTCTCGACTGACGTCATTAGCACGCTAGAGATTGGACCCATTTTTCAGACGGGCAGCGTAGAGTTAGACTTGAAAAGCTGACAGAGGTCTCACCTTTCGTTTGTTTTCCCTCTCTAAGGGCGGAAGTGAGAGCTGCTCATAGAAATTTGGGAAGGAATTCACGAGGCTAGCGCAGCAACCCGAGGCAGAAATAACATATTACTCCTAAGGTTGCTACTTTTTTTTGTTTCTGGGTGAACGCGCTGCTCCTCCTCAGTCAGCTATGCTAAGCTAATAGAGTTCCTCATTGATTTGTACAGGCAGCCTTATTTTCGGTACTATTGTAGCGGAACAGGGAATACGTATTCCCACGTAAACCCGGAAATTTCCCATTTTTTAAAGGTGGACTTCTCTGCATTTTCTTATCACTATGTACTATTCTTGACGAGGAAACCGGTTTCCTGTGGAGAAGTCACGCCTCCGGAAGTACTTTGTTTCCACGTGCCCGCTTCTATTTAAAAGAAGACGATGGGCGCGGCTTAGGCCCCGCCTACGAGGCACGTCCTTTAAAAGCCCCGTGTGACGCTATCGCGCGGCGACTTCATCTTTGTCAGTGAACAAAATGGCGCCGTACTGTGTCCTAGTCAGTCGGTTACAGGTGAGTCTGGTACCCGTAGACTCGGTTATGGGCAGAGCAAGCGGTAGAAGCTGAGTGTAGCTGGCGGAGTCGGCTGTGGGGGTTGAGGCCTGCGCGCCCCTCGCTGCTCCTCGGGCTCGGCATTCCGCTTCCTCGCTGTAGGTCAATGTGTCCCCCATGCCGGTCCCGCCTGTGACTCCCTGCAAGCGAGGAGGGATGTTTGCTTGGCAGTACCGTAGAAAGGCCTGGCATGCCAACCCATGTACACTAGCGAAGGCTTCGTGCTGTCTCCGGGGCTGGTGTGCTGTCTGGTGGGGCCCCGCTCACGAACTCAAGGTGAGGGCAAGGTTACTGGGGTTCTGCGCCGCCGCTGGCTTCCATCCACACTCGGCATTTATAAACGACGCATTGTACCGTTATGCATGCAGTCGTATTGATAGATGGATTTTTACAACCTACACACGGTAGGTGGCATAGGAATTCACTTCTCAGCAATAGGCATCTTCCCTGTGGCTTGTTTCACACAAATAGTTCACCAAATTTCACGCTACAAATTAAGCACAGAACTTCTTTTGGGTAGGTAGGACTTAACCTCTCTAGCCCTACAATCCTGTATACACTCTTATTTGGGAGAGCCACTCAATGGCGTTTCCTTCTGAGAATAATGTAGAAGATTTTGCTGTAAAACATGCACCAAATAGTCGAGCTGTAAATGTTAGATGTATTGCTACTTTTTATAATGTTTTGTAATACCTTTTGTTAAAAAAAATTGGTTTGTTTCAATCAACCAAATAGCTCAGGCTTAGGCATGAGATGGACGTGCATAACTTTGTATGCTGCCTTTCCGTAGTTCAAACCATTCTCAAGACAGTTTGCAACATAAAAAATACATAATTACACGCATAACAAAAGTAGACACAATAAATACCAAAAGTTCACAAACAAAACAATTTCCACATAAATAATATTTAAAATAGATACCAAAAAAAAATTCATTACAGCAGCAACTCCACTCAACAACCCCCCCCTAAAAAGTACCCCAGTCCAAGAGTCTGTTCAGCATCCTCAACTTTTGTAGCTGGAATCGGTCAGGATCCTGCCCGCCCAGGCCACGTGGGTAAAGGCCTGCAAGGCAGGGAGCAGGTCTTCCAGGACTCACAGCCAAGATAGACACCAACACTGTAGACAGGATGAACTTGAAGCTAAGATTGTTGGTTTATGAAGGAGATACCATGTGCAAAAGGGAATACTTACATTGGGGCCTCAATGGTGCTTGTTAATCGGTTCTGAAGACTCGAGATACTGTTGCTGATACCAGCCTGTATGATACCTGCTTTACATTTTTCCCAAGTATAAGTGGGACAAATTTATTTCTCGGCACCCCTACTTCATATACTTCATTATCTCTACTTGTTGAAAAGTCTGCCTGCTTGACCATAATAAAGAACGTTGCCCAGTCCACATATGTTGAATGTTTTCCCTGAAATAGTATCGTCCGTTGATATAAAGTCAGGTCTTATTAGAGACACTGAAGACCCAATATGCAGCATACTGAAAACAGTTACAGTGGTACCTCGGGTTACATACGCTTCAGGTTACAGACTCTGCTAACCCAGAAATAATACCTCGGGTTAAGAACTTTGCTTCAGGATGAGAACATAAATCGTGCTCCAGCGGTGCAGCAGCAGGAGGAGGCCCCATTAGCTAAAGTGGTGCTTCAGGTTAAGAACAGTTTCAGGTTAAGTACGGACCTCCGGAACGAATTAAGTACTTAACCCGAGGTACCACTGTATTTTCTTTACCAAAACTAGCTCCCTGCACAGTTCTGCTTTGTCCCCCCACTCCATTTATCCCTTAGTCACTTACAGTGAGTAAGGGTGTATGGAGGGGGCACACTGTGATTATTTCTACTCAAGAGGGCTTGCATGCTACTTCTGTACAGTCAGCTCTGAGGGAGGAATTTGTGCTGGATCTTCTAGCTGTTTGGTCCAGCAGCTGCTAATAAAGTATAAACCCTGCTGCTGAAGGTGCATATCAAGTGGTAGATCATAAATGAGTACACTCTTATACTGTTAATGGATACAGGCGGTGACCATTTCACATGGGGGTTCAATTCCTAGAATCCATGCACATTGGCAGAGCACGTATAAGCTCAAAAGAACCCGTGTCTCAGTGATCGTGCATCAATTGGACATTTCTAAAATGGTTACCGCCTGTACAGAGTTCCCTTTAAAAGTACTGGGAAGCTGCTAGAAGCTAGCTGTATTGTGACTATACTACACAGAACTATACCGTATATAGTAGCAGTGTGTGGGAAAGCATTTCTGTTCTGTTCTGGACAGTTCCAGTTTTATTTAAGAAGCAAGATACTGTGGAGGTGGCAAGCAGAGAATAGAATTGGAAAAGTAACAGCTGTGTCAGAGTTTTGAGAGGTATATGCCAACTTCAGGTAGAAGGAGAGATTGCACACCGATAAGCTAACAATGGAACGAGGCTTTCAAGACCAACTCTGAAAGACTGCTGTGGGGACTGAAAATTCAGTGACGTTTGGGGTTGCATCTTAAAATTAAAAGCAGTATTTAGAGTAAGGGTGCTAACCTTTGGCCTTCTAGATGTTGATGGACCACAACACCTCTTTCCCCTCATAATTAAGCTATCTACCTGGAATGTCTCATGTGCAAATTCTGTTAACATGAATGTCACACTAATTTCAGTGGGATTGCACAAGAGACATTCCTGATGTATTGTACTTTTAGTCATGATGGCTTTGAAGTAACATGTGAACTGCTCACTCAAAATGACAATAGGAGCAGAAAAATGAGTGAAATCACAAACATAATGTTGCCTAGATTTGTATTTTGGATTATGAAGTGAACAGTTTTCCAATTGTAGTTCCATTTAACTAAAGCAATAGGCAGAAAATCTAATTGTGCACTGAAATAAAGATATGCCTTTTGCTGCACATAGAAATCCTTACAAAGTAGAGTCAGTGTTTTTAATATTCTGCACAAAGTGATGAATCTCAGAGAAGTCAAATTGAGGATTGGAGTCTTGAGTCACTTCCTTTCTCAGTAGAATTTTGTACTAAGGTTTTTCAGGACAGATTTATGCAAGAAATTGTGAAGGTGGCTGACTATTACTTGATCAGATTTGAAACTGAAAGCTGTTTTAAGATCTGCTGACTTCTTCAGTCATACAAGGACATAAAGACAGCTTTGGCTACAATCCTAAGTACCTTTACTAGGGACGCGGGTGGCGCTGTGGGTAAAAGCCTCAGCGCCTAGGGCTTGCCGATTGAAAGGTCGGCGGTTCGAATCCCCGCGGCAGGGTGCGCTCCCGCTGCTCGGTCCCAGCGCCTGCCAACCTAGCAGTTTGAAAGCACCCCCGGGTGCAAGTAGATAAATAGGGACCGCTTACTGGCGGGAATGTAAATGGCATTTCCGTGTGCTGCGCTGGCTCGCCAGATGCAGCTTTGTCACGCTGGCCACGTGACCCGGAAGTGTCTCTGGACAGCGCTGGCCCCCGGCCTCTTGAGTGAGATGGGCGCACAACCCCAGAGTCTGTCAAGACTGGCCCGTATGGGCAGGGGTACCTTTACCTTTACCTTACCATTTGACTAAATAGGATTTACTCCTGAATAAGCATTATTAGGATTGCTGTATTGTGTTTGTCAGTCTCATATTAAAAATAGTTTTAAAATTTGAAAGCTGGAAGCTTACTCGGGGATAGTGACAGCAACTGACAATGGTGCTAATCTTTGCTTGACAAATAAAATTTGCCTATACATACAGTGGTTGCCTATCTCTTACTTGTGTGCATGGTGCTGTTGCAATCAAAATTCTGACACTTCTTTGCTGTGAATAGTGTTTCTAGATCTCCAGTGCAATCAATTAACTTTTCCCTGAAATCATCTACCCTCACAATTTTATAATTGTTCTGTTTTATATTTGTATCTGCATTTTAGCCTGTAAGGTAGATTAGTTTGCAAGAGAACTAACTAAAAGCTGGCAGCTCAGCTATATATTCTGCCTGAACAGTCATGATTTTAACGTGGTCTATCTACGCATGCAGCAGAAGATGATAGTAGTAGTAGTAGTGCTTTAAAATGGATTGTACTACTTCAGATTGGAGATGGGGATCATATTTTTTAATGCTTCCCCGTGTTAGGGGTGGGAGAAACACTCCGCATAAGTAGAAAACTAGGCTATGAGTATTTCTTCCCCTGATTTACCAGTTTTTCTTTTTGCCGGTTTTTTTTT